CAAATGATTTGCCGTAAGACCTTTATTCTGGAGGGGATTGACAAAAGGCTAAATGGAATGTGGGGTTGACCAAAGACTCCAACAGAGCCTTCATGTGGCTATTATGCCATTTGCTTTTCAGCTGTGTATTGTAGCACAGTAATCTCTTAAACTGCAGTTCCATGCGTTTAAGCAGGGAATAGGCTTCACTGAGCATAATGGCATAGGATTTATTCTGCAGTTAAGGCTGTAGTCCTTATTTATGCTTGCTTGGGAGTAGGCCCTAAAGATACTGGATATGAGATTGTCAGTGCAAAACTGACCCAATACATTTTGCTGACTTCAGAATATGCTACATTGATCAACTGATTTAAGCTTTAGATATGGAGAATCCCCCAGAATGCTTTTCCCTTTCTGTCAAAATAGACGTGTGACAAAAATGCCATAGATCTGAAACTTCATAAGATATTTGAGTTCTTTTTTCTGTTCACCTGCTGAATGTGTTATTTCATTGTGTCTCAATTCAGGGCAGTCTCTTGGTTGGTGTTTAGAGAAGGAGCAGATCTTCAATTCCAACAAACTTCCAGTTTCAAAGTTCTCTCTCTCATCATAGTCTTTCACTAGTATGGGATACAAGCCTGAACAATGACAGAGAAAGGTCAGGGGGAGTACTGATAATCCTAATGGGAACAATGAAAGCACATTTTATGTACAAAAGGTTTTAAAGAAACTCATAAATGCAGTAATAGACTAAATTGGAATGACTTATTTGTTGGAGTAGGGGAGCTATCACTACTCAAACAGGAGTAGTTGGAATTGCTACCCCTTTGATTCTCTTTTGGAGCTGCTGATGTAGGGCAAATCAAGCTACCCCAACCATATCAGTATGGGAAATGTAAAGTCAAATTGACATGAAGAAGACATATTCCCAAATATAATATCTCCACAAAAGGATATCTTCAGCTATATTGCCTCATTAGACTTATGAATTAAACCTGTGATAACCTTCCAATGTCTAATAATAAAAAAGTATGGTAAATAGAAGATAAGAAGGTAAAGTAAGTCATATGTAATGACAAACATCATTTAGGGAAATTCCCTTTCTCAATATGTATCATTTAGTCTGATGAATATTATGTATAAGGAAGAAAGTATTAATACAAAGAGAGACTGCCTTAGACTTCTGGTTCCTCCCCACATAGAACCCCCCCCCCCCCGGTTGAAAATGCTGCTCTTGAATGCCAGGTCAGTAAATGGAAAAACAACTGCCATCCAGGAGTTGATTCTAGATTAGCGTTCTTACCTGGTCTGTGTCACAGAGACCTGATGGGATGAGACTCGGGAGGGGGCGTAATCTTTCTCCATTTTGCCCACCAGGATTTCCTGTGCAGCAACAGGCAAGGCCTGGGGGGTAGGGAGGTGGATTTCCAGTGGTCTATCATGATTCCATCTCCTGACCAGGTTCCCCATCCCACAGTCAACAGCATTCAAGTGCATTTACCTAAAGGAAGGTAACGGGAATAGAATAGAGATTCTTTTGTTGTGCCACCCACCCCGCTGCTCAACAGTCTCTCTTCCTGAACTAGCTGGGGTCGTCTCACTGGCATTGGAGTCTCAGTGGATAAAAGTGCTAGGAGACTTCAACATCCATACTGAGACTACCCTGTCGAAAGTGGCTCAGAACTTTATGGCCCCCATGATAACCATGGGTATGTCCCAAGTGGTGTATTCCCTACCCATGCTTCCAAACACACTTTGGACTTTGTTTTCTATGCAGGATGAGATGATGGTGATTGTGGTGTGGATGAACTTGTCACAGTTCCATTGTCATGGACCAATCACTACCTGGTGAGGTTTAGAGTTGATGGGACTCCAAATCTCTGCATTAAGATGGTCCCAGGAGGGTTATGGATCCGGATGGATTCCTGATGGCTCTTGGGGACTTTTCTGTCACCCTGGCAGGCAATTCTGTGAAATCTCTGGCTGATCTCTGGAATGGGGAAATGGCCAGGGTGGTGGACACAATCACTTCTGATCATCTCCTCTCACAGAGCAGAACCAAACCAGCCCTTAGTTTTAAAAGGAGTTGACGGTGATGAGATCAAGAATCGAGGGATGAAAGTCCATTCCACAGCAATCGAGTCAGCAGATAAATTGTTCCTTGCTGCCAGCATTGCATCGGCAAGAAACCATCCAGCAGAGCTGTTTCGAGTGGTCAGAGGACTACTACATACTTATCCTCAAGGAGACATCCCTGACCATTTGGCAACTCACTGTGAATAATTTTCACAGCAGTTTGCAGATAAAGTCGCTCAGATATGTTCCAACTTGGATGCTGTTATTGATACAGTTTCAATGGATGTAATGCTGGCGGCTTCTTGTCCAATGTTGATGGATATCTTTCAATTTGTGCAGCCTGAGGACATGGACAGGATCCTTGGAGAGGTGAGAACTACATGTATTCTAGATCCTTGCCCTTTCTGGCTGATCAAACAGGCCAGAGGGGGACTGGCAGAGTGGGTGAAGGTGATGGTCAATGCCTCCTTGGAAGAAGGCAAAGTTCCAACTTGCTTAAAGGAAGCAGTTGTGAGACCTATAGTTAAAAAGCCATCCCTGAAACCCTCTATAATGGGCAGCAATCAGCCAATCTCCAATCTTTCCTTTCTGAGCAAGGTCTTGGAGCATGTGGTGGCTTCCTAAGTCCAGGGAATACTGATGAAACAGATTATCTAGATCCATTTCAATTGGGTGTCAGGCCAGGCTATGGAACAGAGACAGCTTGGGTCACCTTTGTGGTGCAGAGAGCTGGACAGGGGGAGTGTGTTCCTGTTGGTTCTCCTGGACCTCTATGTGGTTTCGATACCATTAACCATGGTATCCTTCTTGGCCATCTTACTGGGATGGGACTAGGAGGCACTGTCCTTCCTGAAAGGTCGTACCCAGAAGGTGGTGCAGGGAGACTCCTGTTCAAACCCCTGGCTGTTGTCCTGAGAGGTTCCTCAGGGTTCCATCCCCCCCCCATGCTTTTCAACATATACATGAAATTGTTGGGAGAAGTCATCTGGAGTTTTGGAGTGCAGTACCACCTATATGCAGATGACACCCAATTCTACTACTCCTGTCCATCTGATGCCAAGGAAGCTGCCCTGACCCAGACTGGATGTCTGTTATAACATCCAGTCTGTACTAACTGGGACTGGCTACAGGGAGCAGACAACCTCCCTGTTGAAGCAATTCCACTGGGTGCCAGTCTGCTACCAGGTACAATTCAAAGTGCTGGTTATGACCTTTAAATCCCTAGAGGGTTCAGATCCAGGCTATTTGTACAAACCTGCCCAGGCCCTGAGATCTTCAGGAGAGCCCCTTCTCTTAGTCCCACCTCCATCTCAAGCACAGTTGGTGGGAACAAGAGAACGGGTCTTTTCAGTGGCTGCCTCTCAACTCCAGAATGGCCCCCTCCTTGCTTTCCTTTCGGCATCAGGCTAAAAACTTTATATTCAAGCAGACTTGTAAAGAAGAAGGTATTTAAGATACTCAGGGGCTGCTGTTGTTTAAACTTTGAATATGTTTTGATGGTTTTAAACTTTTTTTTTAGTGCTATTTGTGTTTAATTCTGTTTTAATTTTTGGATATTTGGGTATTTTAAATTCTGTGCTAAATCTTTTATGTCAAGCCACTTAGAGTCCCCTTTGGAGATATAAAGCAGGGTAATAATAATAATAATAATAATAATAATAATAATACAGTGTAGATGCATACTTTGTCTTTAAACGTCCCTGCTTGCCATATGTAATTAAGGCAATAGGGGGACAGAAATCATTCCATAACAGTAAAGGATGCAATTCTTCACTAAGTTTCTTCTCAAATGCAATAGTAAAAAAAAATCAATAATTTCTACTTACTGCAAGAAATCTTTGAAAATCATGCAGTTCAGACTAAAAATTTGTGTATCATTTTATTTTGGAGAGAAATAAGCATTTTCTATATGATATTTACATTTCTATGATGAAATGTAAATTCTTGTGCATGAAATGCTGGCTTTGTGTATAATGTGTTGTTTTCTATACAGATCAACGTTGTGCACAGTTTCTGCAAAATAAATCTATTATAGCATTTTCTGTTCAGTAAAAATAAAATTCAGGGAAAGGACGAATAGTTATTCATTTAAGAGAAAATATTTCCTGCATGGATAAGGAGCTTTTCCTCCCCACACAGTGGGGATGGAAATAAATTTGCCTCCCCTGCTGCAGGAGAATGGTTAGTGCTTAGGAACCTTCCAGAAAGGGGGCAGAGCTGGGCTTATGGCCTTAACTCAGCCTCCTTGGCTCATTCTGAGCCTGTTTGGTGACCCACCATGCTCGCCCACAGTATATCCACGGTTGCCTTCTGGGACTGGGTAGGAATTTTTACCTCTCCTATGTTCTAGGAAGGTTTTTCACCTACCCTATACTGTTTTTAGGGGCTAGCTGGGATGGTGTTGCATTCAAATAGGTTAGTGTAAATAGAGAGGAAGATCAGATATTCGGCATACTCCCAAGGCATCCCCTTCAGGGGTGAAGGCCTGTAGCTTAAACAGTCATCTGCTGTTCACTTGGAAGGGATGAGGTGAAATCAACTGGCCTTAAATTGGTGAGAATCTGGCCTCAATAACTTTGAGGGAGGCTTCTTCAGGTTTCCTTAGAAGTTGCCCGGTTATAAATTTACAGGGGACCCACGTGTTTCAGCCAAGTCCCATTTATTTATTTATTTATTTACTTTGCTTATATACCTCTGTATCTCAAGCCCGAAGGCGACTCACAGCGGTTCACAAACAGTAAAAACAGTAGAAACAGCAGTGGTTCCATACAACATATAACAATTGACTTAACACATTATCCATAAATTACCAATAAGCAATTACAATGCACAATTATTACAAAAAACAACCGTACCCAATCTTCTCATCATCCAAGCGTAGTCCAGGTTCGGCGTCCATTGTTCCATTCCTATGTTCCATTACCAGATTGCACTAAATTACTCAAACGCCTGCACAAACATCCAGGTCTTCACCTTTTTGCGGAATACCATTAGAGATGGTTCTAGTCTAATGTCCGTAGGAAGGGCGTTCCACAGCCGAGGAGCCACCACCGAGAAGGCCCTATCTCTCGTCCCCGCCAGCTGAGCTTGAGAAGCAGGCGGGATCGAGAGCAGGGTCTCCCCGGAAGATCTCAAAGTCCTGGTGGGTTCATAGGCAGAGATGCGGTCGGATAGGTAGCTTGGGCCCGAACCGTTTAGGGCTTTAAAGGCCAACGCCAGCACTTTGAATTCAGCCCGGTAGCAGAGTAGTCCAGGTATGGATGCTACCTTGGCTTTGCCCCTCACCAAGTTCAAGATACACCCTAGTTAGAATTGCAAATGTTAAATAGGCAATTTTAATTTAAAAAATGCCCAATTTGAAACCAAGTTATTGCTGTCAGTCTCCTTATTTCGGGGCGTGGGCAGGCAATTGTGTTTTCTGTGCAAAATAGCCATGTGTTATATTTTGAGCAGAGTACGTTTTTAATTGTGAAGTTTCTCAACAGTTGAATATTCTTGCCATGACCCAATGAAAAGCTTCTGAAATAAGCTGACATGGACATTCCCTACTTTAGGACTAGCAAGCAGGATTGCAGAAATGTCTCCATAGCCAGATGTAAAGTAATGCTATCAGTTCTGGTATCCTTTAGGGTCCTTCAGAGGGCTCAGTGTTGCTAGTATTATTACTTAATTTGCTATGGGAGATATCTTTTACCTTCTAACCAGAATGACAATGCATGGCAGATTCAGGGGCTTTCCAGGAAGATGGGGGTTGGTTATTGTAAGTTTGTATTGATGTGTTTGTTTACTGTTTTGATTTGTTTTGTTTCTATTCTTTAGAATTGAATGTTTTCCATCTTTTGTTGGAAACCACCCTGAGTCCCCCTGGGGAGATAGGGGGGATTATAAATAAAAAGTTTTATTGTTATTATTATTATACTATTATTATACTATTATTGTTGTTGTTGTTGTTGTTGTTATTGGTATATTGCTTTGCATAGCATTGGTCTACCTGAACAATATTTAACAGGGAGAGGGATGCTGAATTTTAGTCAGAATTAAAAACAATCTGAAGCACCTTCCCCTAAAACAATCATGCTCCTTTAACACAGCAAGCCCAGGGAAACCAGGGAAGAATTTTTGCTTTAGCTGAGCTTACACTGAAAGGCACTCTGGCTAGAATTGATTATTGCAGTTACAGATTCATGGCCTAGAGTTAAAGATCTGTAACTGATTTGTATTAATGAAGACTACATATTCAGGATCATGGCAATATTACCATACTAATAAATGTCCCCCAGTCTTGCTTTAACAGCCACCAGCTGCTGCAACCAACAGAAGTCTTTTCTCCTGTTGATCAATGCACAGCAGACTGACATTTTCAACCTCTCTCACCAGCCATCTCTGGTGAAAGGATGAAATCTGACAATGATTCTGGTGGAAATTATGCCCTGATTTGGCAACAGTCTAGTTTAGTGAAGGTTGCTTAGTATTCTCAACTAAGTAGACAGTCTAGGATCTCAGCCGCTGACCTTAAATGTTTATCTTCCATAGCCACTATTTTGCCATTGTCTCTGTTTGGTGGATTTTGAGTTCTAGTAAGAAATAAAGTAGATCCTGCCAGCTCAACATCTGCCCATCCACAATATAGAGAAGTGTGTGTGTGTGTGTGACATATATATAAACCTATAAAAGAAGATTTGGAGGCAGCCGTCTGTCCTTAAGAATCATCTTGCGTGAGTACACCCAGTATTAGTAGTTTGAAAAATGGGTGGTATGAGATGTATATGCTTTTTCAGGCTGTAGAGAAAAGTGACAGGATGTGACTGCTGTATAAAATGTTTAGCAAGCTCCCCAGGTGCCTATAGTCAAAGCAATTCCATCTGCATTCTTGTTGTGCTGTGAGCGGTCATTTCCCCAGTGTTATCAACCAAGTGTGTATGGTGACAGCTTTACAAACCAGAAGCTCCAGCAGAAAAGTGTGGTTATTTACTAGCTGTATAACTGCACCCATTTGAGAGGAGGCAGGTAAATCATGCTTCTCTCGCTTTCTAGCTTGCTTATGTTTATAAAGAGACATTCAGAAGTAGGGTTGGAAAAGGGTTTCTTTATGAAAGTATTTCACACTGCTCAAGGTGGACAATGGTACAAACCTTTCTGGTGTTTGCAATATGGTTTATTGAAGAAAAGAAATGCATGATGGGATGTTAGGGGTGCTAATATATGATTGTCTTGTCCTCTAAGTGAGGATGAGCCATTTCCATTGTTCTCTTTACTTTGGAGACTATGAATATTTCTGCACAGTTTTTGCTTGGTATGTAAACAAACATCCCAAATTGCTTTGAGAAATCATTCTGCAATTATTCTGCAATTATTGCCATGCTTTTAATGAAAAAAATAAATAACTTGAACAAAAAAAATTTCACAAGAAAAAAACATTGTGCAAAAAAGAGCTATCTTGTAAACGCAACCAGGTTTTTTTGTGTACAAGATTGTTGAATTTTTGTGCAAGAATTTTTATATGCAATTTTTGTTGGTCAATTTGACAATTCTTGCATGGAAAAGTGTAACCTTGTGCAAAAAGTGCATTGTTGGTTTGGTTTTCCAAAATGTACCATGGAGACTTATTTCCTGAAACACTTCATGATGTGTCAATACTTAAACTTCTTGCCAGTATATTGATCTTCGTGTATTATTTTTCCATCTTTAAGTCAGAAAAGATATAAAGGTGAATATTTTCTTTCCTTAGTGTATGCTGTTCTATACCTTGCAGAATTTGTACATGTATTTTTAAAAGGAATTCAAGATTTGCTGAAAGTATCTATAACAGACAAAGATTCCTTGGTAGAATTATGCTTTGGAACTTGCAGGGTCATTCTCATCAGAGAATATTATTAACTTCAACATATCTAATTTGTTCTTCATAAAATAACTTCCTTTGCTCCAAAATGGAGGACAAGAATGGAAGTGGAATTCTGAGAAATACAACAAAAATGAAATTCACAGATTTTCACATCTGTATCAGAAAATGCATTGTTCCCAGTGCAGAATGTACCAAAAGTTTTTGTTAATCTATAATTTTGTGCATAGTTACTGGGGGTAGAAGAACCCATGTTATTAATTTCTGTTAACTTCTAAACTGGTTGGTTCCATAGACATCTCCACTGTAAAAATGCAGCCCCCCCCTTTTTTTTTTTTTGCATTTTTATCACATATTTTAAAATATTAGTGACTAAAAGATATTTAACTGCAATGGTACAGAGAAGCATGTTTTCATCAATGGGAAAATGAATAGATGCTAATTAAGAGAAATAAGTTTAAAAACTGTACAAATTTCAGTGTGAGAACAAAACATGAAGTCTTACAACCCAATGTGAAAAAAGGGATAAGAAGAAAATTCATATAGGACTAAAAGAAATACAATATAATCAAGATTGAGAGGCTTACCAATCCCTATCACATGTATAAGAAATGTTAGCAGGCTCTCATTCTGTGGACTAAAATTACATGCATTCAGACACTTCAGATTCACAGGAATATGTTCAAGGGAATAGGAACTAAAACATTTCTCTTCTATAGGTAAATGATTATGAATGCAAATATTTGGTGGTCTCCTGAGAGAGAGAAATTGCATAATTTGTTATCAATGTTAAATTAATATTTGGCATGATTACATATAATAAGATCAGAATTGAGAACATTGATTAACTGCTCCTTCTTGTTTGCTTTATGTAAAATACTAACTTTGAAATTATTAGGTACATTACCTGCTGGTGCCACTGTTCAGTACTGTGAGCTCATTTATTGAGCTGGTACAGTCATTTATGCAAATTACCCAATTTACTGTTAATTATATGATTGCATGTAATACCCGAATAATGGCTTGTTGCTCTTTAAAGGAGAAGTAACTTTCTCATGCTGTGTTCTGGTTAAGAGGAGGTGGGAGCCAGTAGGGCTATGCTCTTTGTTAAAAGACATATCAATGCATTGTAGTGTGTGTGTGTATGTGTGTGTGTGTGTATATATATATATATATGTGTGTGTGTGTGTGTGTGTGTGTGTGTGTGTATATATATATATATATATATATATATATATATATTAGGGCTGGGCGGTTTCGTTTCGTTAATTCGTAATTCGTTAATAATTCGTTATTTTTTTCAATTACAAAACGATAACGAACCATTCTGGAGCAATTTTTTTAAAAAACGAATTTTTAAACACGTTTTGTAAATGCTTCGTATTTCGTTATTGTATTCGTTTCGTTATTGTTCTGAGGTCATTTCGTTATTATTTCCGCATGTCTGGGGCAAGTTTTTTGTTTAATTAGTGAAAAAAAATTATAATATCACACCAACAGTCAACAACAGAGGGAGAGGGAAGCTTCAGAAGTTTTTGGAGGTTTTTTAGCGTATTTCGCGGTCGCGTCCGCCATTAACGAATCGATTCGTTATTGTTTCGGAAATCGATTCGTTAATGTTTTGTAATTTTTTTCCATTTACGAAATTTCGTAAATATCGAACTTTTTAAAAGGAAAATTTTGTAATTATTTTAAATAACGAAACGCAAAAACCCCCAAAAAACGAATCGATTTTAGAAACAAATTTTTCCGTTGTTACCCAGGCCTAATATATATATATATATGATTGAAATATTTTTGTTTGGCTTGTACCAAAGATGTCAGGGCAGAGCTACAGGCAAGTACAAAGAAAGCTAAACAACTTTAAAACAAATTTAAGCATGATTTGATAACCCTACAATTTATTAAATCAAAGGTAAGCAATGCTCAAAGAAAAAGTGGATGAACAAGGCGGGGCTGGAGATCTCAGATTTCCCCAGTGCAAAGTAGAGTAAAAGAATTAAGAGAGAAGCAGAGGCAATGAGATTCTATAGTAAAATAATGTTTAACGTTAGAGATCTGTCAAATCTGCTTCCACCACCAACTTCCTTTTTTTGTCCACACCCAGGAGTATTCCATCCCATATGTTGAGTGCTCATGCTTGTTTTTTTTAATGGAGGCATGCTCCATACATGTATTTGTTTGTTTCATATAAGGTTTCAAATATAATAAAATAAAAAGACTCAACACACTCACCTCATTGAAAGCTTTGTCTGTTGTCACACAATGAAAACAGATGCTTCTTTCAATAAAAAAAATCTGTTGGTGGAGAAACAGCACAGAGGGGACTAACTGGCCCTTCTAGAGGCGGTGAGGACAGAAGTGAGAACCTTCTCCATGGCACCTCTCAAGTTACAGAGCAACAAAAAATAAGGCTTTCTCTTATGTCCTTTCAAGGAGTACCTAGGACGGTGATGAGATAGAAAAAAACCCATCCCCTACAAATCTTAAGTAGGCTCATTAATGTTTCTATTGTAGAAATGTATGTCTTTTTCCTGTATATTTTGCACTTTTTGATCAAACTCAGACTACTAAAATGCATTGTTTTCTTTATTTCTTGAAATGCATTGGGAACAGAGAGGTTAGTGGATTTTCCATTGCAAATTGTCCCTGAGTCTATGGTCAGATGAGGAGGTATTGTTTCCAATTAAAAAACAGTGGACAAAGGAATTCAACCTGGTTATCATACAGACAGTTATATAAAAAAGGAAGAACACACTATACACAAACTCCCCCCCCCCTTAGTTTTTGAGCCACGTTATATTTTGTGACATTTCAGTGAACAGAATTCACAGATTCTTCCATGTCTTTCTAGCATTTTGTACAGTAAAAGTGGTATATTTTTGAGTTGCTATTCATAAAAAAAGAAATAATCTGGGTAATACCTTCGATTTCACAGTCTGCTTTCTTCTGTGCCATTTTATGTGGTCATTCGAGGCAGTTGTATTCTCTCTCTTTTCTTTCTTTGTTCTGTATTCCTGACCTTTCTTCTTAGACCATCTTCCTATATTTGTTTCTGGTTGTCAGCCAGGCTAAATCTCATTCTGGGTGCATAGCAGGATGTCACTCAGGTTGCCCCTACACCATTTCCCTTTTTTCCTCTTACAGTTTAACTAGCAAAGATTCAAGAGCTCTTCTCCTGCTGTGACTGGTGGAGAAAATGTTCTGAAGTACCTTGGTTGTAGACTATGTGGCAAAAGGATAAACCCTTAGAAATTCTTTAGGGAAGGAAACTCATTGGGAATATAAGCATGTCTAGCATCTGGTATGCATGCCTTTATATGTGTGAATAAATGATTTAAGTGGAAACAGATGAAAAGACATCTGCTGTACCTGCTAAGAGAGGTGACATAGACCTTCTTGATAATATACTTGTCAAGATTTTTCATATATATATATATATATATATATTAACCTTTTAGCACAGTGAGATATGTGTTTGGGGAAGAAAATCCCAGATTACATACTCTTGTCTTCCCATTTGGTGGGAAACACTGTAATTCTTACTAGGTTCAGAAAAATAAGTGTAGCTTCAGCCATAATACAGAGTGCACTTAATACATTTGAATTTTTACTGCAATTCTTCTTGGGTTCTATTCCCCATTCACTTGAAGGGTTTCACTGTGATTATGTGTGAATCCTACGTAGATGGATGTATGGAGTATATTTTATTAATTTTAACATCATGTGAAGAAAGCTAGATAATAATAGCAAAGGTCTCAAGACAACACCATTATCAGTATAACGTTTTTCAGAATGTGAGATTAAATATTTCAAATGCAGAGAAACTTGAAATAATACATACACATTTATCCTGTTCTGGAAGTCAAAGTAAGGTTTTTTATTTAAAAAATCAAGCTAAGGGATTCAGTAATCTGATTCCCCTTTCCTGGAAAATCCAACCGCAAAGGTTCTGTCAAGGCAAGGAGAAATGGAGCTTTCGTTAAGTCAGGCAGTCCAAGGTCCACACTAGAATGATAAATCAAGAAGTCCCTCTGGGGCACTGCAAGAGAATAAACTATGATGAAGCCAAGGTCAGGTCACACAGAGAACAAAATCCAGTGATACAAAGCAGAGTTGTGGCCTTCATGAAAGACAGCTATCAGCAACAAACTCCTGGAGCTGCAGCTGCTAGATGTAGAACCCAGTATTATCCCAAAACTGTTTCTAATTGCCAAGCATTTTTTTTAAAAAAAATAAATGTGTGGGGTTCTTCTGTGTTTCATTAATGTAGATACTAGGCTTGTTTGATTTTAAAAAATGGTTCAAAACTTGTTTCGGATGTAGGGGGCACTGGTGGTTCAGATCTAAAGTCAATTCTGATTTTCACAGAAAAAAAGTTCAAAACTTTTCAAAACTTCTGAGTCTTCAGAATCCTTCGTTAATGGTTTCAAAGTGTTATTTCCTGTTTCATTCGGTAGTCTTTACTTTGAAAGTAGTTGTTTTATTCCAGAAAGGGGGGGAGGGCGAAAAGGGCTACATCTCTCACCCAAGGCTGATTGGGAGGGAAAGGCAACCGAAGGGATTTCATGCAAACTGTGTTAAACTGTATCTCTCACCCAAGGCTGAGCGGGAGGGAAAGGCAATCAAAGGGAATCCATGCAAACTGTGTTAAACTACATATCTCACCCAAGGCTGACTGAGAGGGAAAGGAAACTGAAGGGAATCCATCCACACTGGTTTGAAGAGTTGAATAATTTCAGACTCACTTACTGATTCGTAAGAGAAATGGCAGAAAAAGCTTTGGAAAGGGCAAAGGGACTTCTGTTTTCCTTAAAAACTTCAACATCACTTCAAAAAGGAAATCTTTCCGAATTTATTCTGAATTACGACAATTCAGACCGAACCTAACCATGCCTAGTAGATACCTTTGTTCCTTTGTCTGGTGTTTGATGGAAGATGCAACTCTCAGGTTTATCACCTGGAACTCCCAGTCCTATGTGTAGTGGCTGCTGAGAACTGCAACTCTCAGACTCAGCAGCTGGCACTTCTACCTGCTCTTCTCCTTCACTGCTTGAGTTCTGAGAGCAGGGCATGATACTGTATATATACCTGTAAAATAGCTGTGCAAGATCACTAAGAAACCAGCCATGTTCTTATGAACTCATAAAAATTTAACATATATGAAAGGCACAAACCAACTTAATTATGTAAGCTGGCCATTGATAATGTGGAATGTCAAACTTTCTACTAAGCCTTTTCCTATTACACTTTCAAATGCATCTTTCCCATAAAGGTTACAAAATAATGCATATTTATGAAAATATATCCTTATCCAGATATCTATAGCTATAATGGAAGACAAACAACTTGGGAGAGCATATCTGAATGGCGGGGCCCAGGGAAGTACCTGGAATGTTAAACATATTCTTATTTTCTCTTCCAAATGGAATTGCCTGTTCTTAAGGCTTCCATTCAGTGGGAGAAAAACTCTAAAATCATGCTAATATTATCACTTCTTAAGATTTGACTGAGATTAATTATGATCAAGCTCATGGCAACAATTAAGTATTGTCAGCTCATCTCTAGTGCATTACAAAATAGAAAACTCCAAAAATGCGATTTCCTAAAGTGATCTTCTGTATACATTACAACATGGTCATTTGAAATCTGGGAGGGTGTTATTAATTAGACTGTAATGGTGCATGATGTCAAGCAGTTTTATCATACTTGGCCTATTTTCTGGGATATGTTCCAGACACCAAACACCAGATGAGTGCTGCTAATTATAATCATTGTTAGGTGGAAGATGTATTAGTAGTTCTGGAAGAAAGTCGATGTCATGCAAAACAAATTCTGACTGATGAGTCCTTGCTCTTCCAAAGAAACATTTTACATTTTCATGTATATTGCACTTTATTACCTGCCTCAGAATTTTCTCCTCCTATCCATATACTTCCTCTCTTCAGAGTTTTCTAAAAGACATATTTTAGCACCAACAGTTCCTCTGTGCTATATACAAGTTATTCTTTTCATTGGTGTGCTGTCTGAAAAGCAACAAGTCCAGTTGCTTGTTTGTCTGTTCCAAATGAGCCATTTTAATTACTTTGCATAACATGAAAAATTGCACTATTATGATCTTTAGTAGGTGAAATAGGAGTACTTGGATGAAAGTCCCAATAAAACAAATGAATCAAGGGGCCAACTGAAGACATGTACTAAAGGAATAGGCAGGCACAATCATAATAGGACTGCACCTTCTCTGAGTGCCATGCATTGCCCATGGACAACAAAACTGGAGACAAGTCAGAGAGAAGTGGGCTAAATATTAATTTAAAAGAATTTACTAAACATTTTCCTTTAAGATCCTAAACATTCTGAACAAATCAGATCTTGAATACTTGTTCTGCCCTCATACTATCTTAACTACTTGGAAGGTGAACTGGCTGCACAGGGAACAAATCGAAGACTATATAGTTAAAACAAAAATTTATTAATTGACAAGAATTTTAGACTTTCTCCTGAGTCTCGCTACAAAGTCTTTATGAGGAGAGGTAAAGTCTTGAGGGATAGAAATAGTTCTGGCAGAAATGAAGCTCTTGAATCTATATTTCTTATTGTTTCTTTCTTGTATGGTGTTCAATTGTCTCTAAGATGGTCACAATATTTAATTCGGAGTGGACTTGAATACAGCTTTTACTGGATGTACTATTTGTAGACCTTCTGGCCTTCTTCTTTCTTCACCTTCCAGTCAGGAAAAGGCTGATTTTTTCAAGAACCAGAAGTGCCTTGCCAGAGGCTCCGCCCCCGAGGGGATTCTTAAAGGAGCAGGGTGACGGAGGCTTCAAATGCAAAGAGGCTGTCTAGACTGACCCTCCTCCCCCCCCCCAGAAACTGTAAATATTATATAAAATATTAGATAAAATATTAATCCCTCTAAGTGAAAGGGGCTTAACTAGGTGTAAACAGTGAGGGTTTTCATGGGGCACAAGAATACCAGTTGATAGCTGTTCCATTTCCCCTAAAGTGAGTCAATTCAAGGGAGAGCTAAGAATAAATGCTATAGATAGATTGACAAAATGAACCTTTTCATGTACCCATTTTTCCCCTGTGAGTTAAAAATTACAGTTTTTGTAAGAAGACACAATTATTTTTGCTACCCTCTTTGCTTTCTTGGTACAATGAAACCTTTATCTTTGAACTAATCTGTGGTACTCAAACTCAATGTAAAATGCACATGGTACGGTTACCAATGCACTCTGCTTAATTTGTTTTCTATCATCACTTTGCAGAGTGCAAGGAAAGAGTAGTTTGCAAATGTTGAATGTTTCCAAACCCAGAAGGCACAAATTGGTTAAATTGAAAGGAAAAGTTTAAAAGCATCCACTCATTCCTAATATATTGAGACAGAGAGAGATCTGGAGCATGAAGAATATTGCAGGTTCGTGTGCTGAGTGACTGGAAGAAGTCAAAAGCTCAAGCTCACACATCGAAATGTAATTGTGCTTACCACTGAAAAAATAGAAACAGGTTGTTTTTCTAAAGATAGATTAAGTGGTTTCAGATTTAACTTTCCCTCTAAAAAATGGTTTGGAATTATGCTACCTTAGAAATAGACTTTACCACGGAATTATGTAATTTTATATTTGTGTTGATTGATTTTTTGAATTCCATTCATGTTAGAAAGATGGGAGATGAAATAATTGCTTGTCTGTTTATATATTTCTTATCACATGACAATAGCTTGACAAACATTAATCAAATTTGACAGGTATGCTTGGGATGGCCAGATTGGCTATGTGGAGTACATGTAAGACAATATTGATTTCCAGAAAAGTGGCTGGAAAAATTGCACCAAATTTGAAGTGTATGTTTGAGATGAGTTGACTTAAAATATAGCCAATGTGACATACACAAGGAAACGTTGTTAAAAGGGTGAACATTTGTATATCCTTAATTGTTAAGATGATATAAAACATACAACTCATTTCCTCAACCCTTTCTGGATACCATTTTTCATTCCTACAATTTATTTAACACTGTATAAATATATGAAAAACCATTGAAAGTAGAATTGTTCTAGTGAAGAAGTAAAAAATAGGACTTGCCATTGATTTTGTGGAAGGTTTAAGTTTGGTTTGTTTCTAAGCATTTGGTTGGAACTGAAAAAGACCCACTCCCCCCAAATTCTCTATTAGGAGCTAGTCAAATTTAATGGGGTCTATTTGTTTTTAAAAAAGATGCCTTAGGGATCA